GGTCCAAAAAGAAACATTTTTCAATGCTGAGCACTTTGGTTGAATAAATTAAAACGGTCTGGCACAAAGCGCGTTAAAATTTATAATTGAGACCTCACTTGGCTCTCCATTCGAGGCGCAAGCAGGGTCAAGGGCTAGGCCGGCGCCCGGCGGCGCCACAAGAGTATCGACCAGGTGCTCGATGCACCGCTGCCGCTGCCGCCGCCGAGGACCGCCGTATCTTCTCGGAGTGCGGCCGCGAGTTGCGTTATGGTGTGCAACGACGGCGTGCATCATGGAGGTGCATACAAGCGCTTTGCCGGCCGGCCGAGAGGCGAACACACGCCAGTGTGGCGGTGGTTGGATTTCAATTAATTACAGTCATACGGCGGCCTCGGCCCCCGCCGGAGCAATAATAGCCTCACCGGACGTGTACGGCGCGGACACATTCGGGAAATTAAAATTCCATTCGCCTCATTGGGCGAGGCCGAGCAGTACTACTACTACTACTACTAGTGCTGAGCGCCGCCGTGTCGCATACCGGCGCAGATGTGCCCTCGGCGCGGCTACGCGGCGGCAGGGGGTACGCGCCGAAGAAAGTCGCAGACAGGTGCACTGGCGAAGAAAGCACTCGGCGCCGCCGCCGGCACCCCTCGAGGTGTCGCGCAGCCTCTCGCCCCGCCGCCACCAATGTAGTACGTCGTCGTGTATGAAACTAGCCGGGGCACTTTCCGTTTCGGTTTGGTTTGGCGCGGCCGCGGCCATGAGATGGCTATGAGCGCAAGGTTAGTGCGACAGACGGACACACGCGGGACGCCTGCCAGCGGCAGCAGGCAGCAGCAGCAGCAGCAGCAGCACCGAGATGCCCCGCGAGAGATAGCTCCCCCGTGTGCACTCGTCCAAATTACGACTGACCTTACACACATCGCCTGGCCGCGACACGAGCACGCCGCCGCCGCGGTACTCGCGCCGGGCCAGTGCCCTCCCCGGACCATAGCATCGCGTGGGCGTAGTATTTTTAGCGGCAGGTGCTCCTTCCTCCATTCCGTTCCTGGCCGGGGCCGGGCTGGGCCGGCGGCCGGTGCGGTCACTGGCTCTGCTAGGCGTCCTTGCATCCTTGAGGAGGCTCATGGCATAACGCGTAGCATGTAACTCAGCTCGGCCACCGCAGCAGCTCGCCGGCCCCGCGGTCGGGACCCGGGACCCGGGACGTGTGCCGGAGCAGGGCGACACCGACACCACTGTCTCCACCGGCCAACCTGACCCACACGTATACCTCATTTAAATGATACAGTACACCGGCTTTCCGGTCTCGCGCGAGTACTGTCTCTCTCTCTCTCTTTTTCTCTCTTCTCGCTTTTCGAGGTGCAGCAGCAGCAGTAGTTGCAGTCTATCCCTGCATTTAACATTTTCTCCACGCGAATAAACAACAACTTTCATTATTATAAAGGGGTGTTCTGTTTAAGTGATCACCGCCCCTTCCGCACCGCCGGTCCGTGAAATCTATTCGCGAGCCCGCCGCGCGAGCAAATAATTTTCCCCCTGCTAAGGTCAGCGAGCACCTTTCTCTATACCTTCCTCGTGGGGGGGTTGTCATTATAAAGTGGTACCCGTACGTAGTGTACTCTCCCGCCTCTTGCATTTTGCGCAGCGCAATAATATAACTCGTATATGTACTACACACAGCCGTCGTGTGCTTTCCAGCCGGAGGATTCGCTATCGCTTATTGGTCATAAATCGCCGCCGCAGCATCGGACGCACACGGCGCGTGTTGAGAAGGCCTGATCGCCGGCCCTTCCCTTCGCGGTCATAAACTGAACACCGGCCGCCGGTCGGCCGGTCGGTCGGTCCGCCGGCCGGTCGCTTTCTCCAGGCGACGCGCGCGGGAACGGGACGGCACCGGAGAGCGGGCGCGCGCGTGTGTGTGTCCAGATCTGGAGCGGGCTGCGGGGCAGCGGATTATTGAACTGTGATAAGTGAAACGGGACGCTTGATCAGTATAAAGGGGCTGGCACACTCGAATGCACACGGGTACCGGTGGGCACGCCACGCCCTGCCCCGCCCGGCACTGCACCGTCCTGCACTGCAGCAGGGGCGACACGGGCGGCGCGAGGAAGTCGGTCAGCAGCTGTACTTTATGTAAATGATATTAACTGTATCGAGCCAGCCGGTACACTGGCGCAACAAATTATGACCAGTTTTAAACTGAATTTATTTATAGTCCATGTCATTATGTTTGCCATACTGTACATCATACGTTATTGCCTTCCATCATGCAGCCGATTTCGCGTTCCAATTAATTTTTTGTATTTTAAAATTTAATTTAGTCGGTCAGATTTAATGTTTTTGGTTCACTTGGCCTGCGGGGTGCACGTACATTGATCGAAAAAGCTATACGATCAGCAGGGCTCTGCAGTATCAGTATGACTGGGCAGGAAATGCCATGAGAAAGGTCCTGAGCCTTGAGCCCGGCGCTGCGCTCCCCTTGGCGCGCCCGCGTGCGATCGATTTTCACACCTCCACCCTCCGACGGACGTGTATGCAGCCCATTGTACTACGCGGCCTTTTTGCATAGATACCCCCCCCCCCCTCTCCCACACGGGCCGCCCTAGCGTCACTCCGCTCTTTATGTTGTGTTTCGGCCAAGGCGGTTCCTGGAACCTGTTAATTCACTCCCAGCGTTCCGTTCCGTTACGACGGCGGCGCCCTTGTGGGCGCGGATGACCCGGGGCGACACCGCCAAACCACAAGCCCCGCGCCAGCTGCGGCGGACAGCGGCCCCGCGGCCCCCGCCAAACCTTCTCCTCCTCCCGACCATGACCACCAACAACAACCCCCTTGACCTTGACTCTCGCCCTCTCTGCGACCCGTTGCTGTTCGCACACCGCTGCTGCTCCCCGTTATTCCGCACCCCGTCGACCCCCTCGCGTCTCGCCCTGACCCGCGTTGGCAACTTTATATATAGCTAGAGCCGGGGAGAGAGAGAATTAATGGTGGAAGTGATTAC